CCAGGACCTGAAAACTAAAGAGTTACCATTTCAGTGGGTAGATTGAGGTCAGATGTTTTGTAACTAGGCCAAAAACCAGTGGTAAGAACAGTGACGGTCAAATCAATTCCCAGGTTTGTGGTCATGTTAGTGGCTAGATACTCCTGGAAGTTCGCTTGGTTTTCTTTTGCCAATGTCATATCCGTTACCTGTATTAAACAGATTAAATGTACAAAACAAAGCATAATTAAACTTAATTACCACTAAACAAATCTTTTTTATTAGAAAAATAGAGTCATCTTACTAACCATGCCCTCCATCTTAGAAGTAAACTGTCCACCGAATTGTTCTTTGAGCTTTGTAAGTATACTTCTTTCATGGTCATCATTATCAATGCGATCAAATAAGAGTCTACGGGCTTGCTTCTTCCTGCAAACAACCATATTATCTCGTTAATCCGACTTAAGTCATTCCCATACTATCTTGAATGCCATATCTGAACAAAGCTTTAGTATAAGCAATAAAATTCAGAGGAAAACAAATATGTACCTGTAAAACTCGGCGAAAAGATCCTTGTCACTTATATAAACAAGCAACTTAACCACCTGTAATAATAAAAATAAAACTTCAGCATCAACCCAAGAATAAATGACATTTGACCGCATTAGCGGTATGAAGGGGAAAAAAAAAGTATACATTCTCAATCGTAGACTCGATAGCTTCATAACTCAGCTTGTCACTTCCTCCCTTCTTGAGGATATTATCGCAAAACGTTGCAAGTAATTCTGCACTGGAACTTCCAGCCACTTTTTTGTTACAGAAGATTTCAAATGCCTCTTTCAATGCCTACATTGCATTCAATGAAACTAAGGTCATTAAAATATAATAAAAATATTGTGGAAGAAGATAGACACTTGAACACACCCATACCTTATGGAAGAGGCTGTTGTTCTGAAAACACTCAGTGACATAGACCATGTATTTATCGTGTAGCTCAATTACTTTTCTGATAAGCACCTGCTCCTGCACTCCACCCGTACTTGCTGCCTGGGGAATGAAGAGTAATCTTAGCAATCACAAAGAGAGTAGACTAACATCTATAATTTCGATTCCATAGAGATCTCAGGCTAAAATGAGCTAAAGATATGAACCTGATTAGCAGCTGCGTCTTCAGCTTGTTTGATAAGGAAATTGCCCTCTGCAGTAACATGCTGTAAACATATTTTCAGTTAAAAGTTATGTCACGTAGCAATTTGAAAAGAAACAGGAAGCGAGGTACTAGTATCCAATAGTTGTAAGCAAAATATGAAGAGAATAAAACAAAAACCTTCTTGAATAACTCTGTAACAGGGTCCAACTGTTGCGGAATCTTATTATAAAGCCTGTACATCCTGGAGAGATCATCCGTCTGAAAATATATAGCAATGTTACGTCAAAATGAGAGTATAAGATGAGAAATAGAATTAACAAAACAACCCACGAACAAATGTCGCCTACCTTGTCATCTCTTAGCAATGCACGACACCCTGAGTGCTCATTTTCTATAAGCTGTTTTGCAACCACTACCAACAACTCATTTTGTACTTTCTGCATTCAGAAATAAACAAACAAGCCGTCAACTATCAGTGTTTACATATGCTTGTAATTAGCTCAAAATACTGTCAGAAATAAGCATATCTATAGTAAGTTTAAACGCTATGATTTATTCCAAATAGTATACGTTTAAAGCTAACAGCGTACAGAATGTATCATAACCAACCTCAACTAGTTTGGTCTCAGTGCTTGAATGAAGGTAGTGAGCGACTCTCTCCTTCTCCTTTTGTAGACACTCCTCTGCCTTTAGCATGTACTCTGGGCAAGAATCCTCCTGGATCCAGCTTGACGCCTTGCGAGAATAGTAAGATGCGGTATCTTCAAGCATAAAGCTTTCGAAATCCTCTTCATATTTTTCCATTGTTCCCATCCCATTCGCAACAAAGATATCTAATACGTTTTTCAACTGTGCTCTATCAATCTGTCCGCCCTCACGTTCTTTATGAATCTGACAATTACAAAAATTGTGTTAGATAGAAACAGAGTCACTCAATTAATTGCATTACAGATTCTATACTTACGAGTGCTAGTATAGCATCTTTGGCCTTGGATTTCATCCCCCCATAAACCAGGTCGCGGAAGCATATCAGCCCAACTTCATTCAGTGTTGGAAGGGATCTCCGTGCAATGAAGTAACGATCAATATAGTAGAAGAAGCGTGATAACCATCTAACCATAACTTTATGGTTATCCCACCTCAGAGAAAGCTCTTTCAGCATATACTCATCATGCTTCTCCCTTAAAGAGGGCAACACCTAATCAAAATATCAAAAGGTTTGCTACTTTGCATATCCAAGAATCAAACCTAAAACGAAAACTTTGGTAAATTCACACTCACCGTTTCCTTAGCGTAGTCTTCAATTACTTCACGATACTTATCATAAAGCTGCTGCGAGTAATCCTTAGGAGGTTTCTGGATGCACATATCGTAGATTGTGCTGTATAAGAATCCACTGTGGTTCAGTATCCATACAGTACAGAACTGTTGTAAGACAAGAAAAGTTATACAAGACGACATACGTGTAAAGATTTATGTATTGTTCAGACTCGAAAGATTCATCCTTTCCTTCTAGAATCCTTGCTATCTTGGAAACACCAGTCATCATGAACGACCATCCTTCGTCCAACTCAATGATCTTACCACTATTCATTATGAGATAACCCTTTTCAAGCTTACCTGAACCAAATTATACAATCGAATTTACCAAATCAGCTCTTGAGATCTTAGATTCGATCAAAATCAATTAGACTACAATCACCAAGAGAGAAACAACCATAGATTTAAGAGAAACAACACACCAATCAAGATTCTAAATCGCAATTGTGCGATCGATCTATAAACCCTAAGCGGAGTAATTTACCAGAAGATTCCGAGGAGAATTGATTCCGATTTCGCAGGGATTTGAGAGAGATTTTTCAGAAGCGACTGAACAAGTAAAAAAGCCTAGAGGACAAGGGATACGTATTTATAGTAGAGTCCGATGTTTGAGAAGGCGGTGAAGAGTTTATTATGTCAA